AATATGAGAAGATCATCTGCAAAGCACAGATGTGTGATGTTTAGTTTGGAACAGTTTGGATGATACTTAAACTGCTTCTCTTCCTTTAAGGTGCTGAAACTTCTACTCAAATACTCCATAACAATAGCAAATAGGAAGGGAGACATTAGATCTCCTTGACGAAGTCCTCTTGCAGCATCAAATGGTGGGGTTGTCTCTCCATTTATAACTATGGAGTAGTTAACAGTAGTAACACACTCCATCACCCATTTGACAAAGTTTTGAGGGAAATGCAATTCTGTCAACATTTGTTCCAAAAATCTTCAATCCACTGTGTCATATGCCTTCTGAATATCAACCTTAATCATAAATCTGGAGGATATATGTTTTCTTGTATATGTCTTCACCAACTCATGAGCCATAATCACATTATCTGCTACTTTTCTTCCTGGGATAAATTCTGATTGAGTTTAAGTGATAATGGATGCTATCATCTTCTGGATTCTGTTTGCAAGGATCTTTGTTATGATCTTGTATAGAACAGTGCAACAGGCAATTGGCCTATATCTTTGAATGTAGCAGGATTGGCTACCTTTGGTATCAGGGTGACTGCTATACAGTTAATTGTTTTATACATTTTGCCTGTTGTAAAGAAATCTTGCACAACTTCAATAATTTCACTTTTAATGACTGACCAAGCTCTTTTATAGAATACAACATTATATCCATCCACACCTGAAACTTTTCTAACGAGTGCAACTTTCTCGACGGTCAAAAGCACAAGGAAGTTACACCCATTTAATTTCATCTATGCTCAACAATTCTATAATGCAACTAAAATCCTTCTCTCCATGTTAGTAATTTGGAACAATTAAGCTGTAAAATTCACTATTTGATCGTTCAAATTGCACATATGCAAATTGGAAAAAGTATTTCTATTAATTCAAGCATTCGTAGCATAATTATAAATTTTATATATAATTATACATCATCATATAAAATGGGAATATGATAAATTATTAGACATTCCTCACTCTTCAACGTAACGTCGACAACTTAACCTTAGTATAGTAATACATGCAATCCAGTTGGATGTCTACTGTTCCCTACTCATTATTTGGAAGATTGATTTAATTAGTTGGAAAAATAACGAGAAAAATGGGCAGCCAAAGCACGTGAGGGATAAGAAATAATCCAAAAGATTGGTTTTGTGTATTTGACGTAGCGTGGAATCCTTTTGAATCCTCGTAGAGGCGGCAACCACTGAATTTTCGACACGCGTCAATCAAGCTGACGTGTCCCCCTGAAGGCCGGTTTAATAACTCCGAAAATAACGCAGGAGTATGTTAAAGCACGCGGAGCTGCTTTGTAAGATAACGTACTTGCTTCTCGTTTTATCCACTTTTTTAGCTCCTATTACCCACTCTCTTCTATTCAAATACCCCTCCACTTTACTGCAAATAACGGATATACCCCTCCACTTTTAGGAGTATGCAATCATTTTTTCCCAAGACTGAATAAATAGAGGTAAAAATATTGATAAAAGATTAATGAAGTAGTGATTCTTTAATTGTCTTTGCGGGATTACACACTGAATTTATTGTTATTGCTATTGTTTATTATAGTAATTCCTTAATTATGTTAAATAAACATTAAGCTATTTGGGCATGGGCTATTTCATATCCGGATGTTCCAACTATTTCTGTCTTTTTTATATATAAATTTACTACATTATTACTCCCACCATTTCAATTAAGATGATTTAGAGTCTGTTTGGCCATGAAAATGTTTACAGTTTTTTTTGAAAAAAAATCACTTTTTTTTCAAAATCATTGTTTGGCCATAAAATTTTTAATTTTTACTTGTAGATGAATTTTGAAATTTTTCGAAAATTTAAGAAACTCCAAAAAGCTGTTTTTCAATATTTTTACTCATAACACTCATAAAAATTCAAAAACAACCCAAAATTATATTCATGTCCAAACACAAATCTAATTTTCAAATAGCATTTTCACTTGAAAAAAACAATCACTTCTTTTTGGAATTTTATAATTCTTATGCCCAAGCGCCCATTAGTTTGATTTGACACAAAATTTAAGAAAAAGAAAGTGGATTTTTAAATATGTGGTACTAAAAGTTTAAGGGACAAAAGTTTTGTGGAAACATGATATATATTAACTTATTATTAAGGGTAAAGTGGGTAAAATAAAATATTAAAGTTAAATTAATTTCAACACTTAAAGAAGAGTTACTTTGACACATTCAACACACTTGTAACAATGACAACTGTTATCTAAACAGAAAGACCAAAAAGATAAAAAAGAGAAGAAAGAAGGCAACAACCAATTACTTTCATGGCAAGTCACTGTCTTGGTCCAAATTTAATTTGCCTATAAATATTACTGATACCATCACAATTTAGCCAAAGCTATACAGCTATACTCTAACTGAAACTACAGATAGCAAATTAAAGCTCTCCTACTAAGCTACTTCTCAAGTACGACGGCAAATTTGTGAAGATCAAATACTTTGAGATAAGATCACCGGTAAGTTAACTTCTCCATTCTTTGTGAAATGTAGGTTTATAATTTAACTTCTTCATTCTTTAGTAAATTATGAACTAATGAATGATATCTCCCATTAGCGACATGCATTCTAGCATTAGTATTAATGCTGTGAAAAAAATGGAGCCTTTTGAGAGAAAAAAAAAAAAAGTGTCACGAAATAGTGTAGTTTTGTTTAGTATATTTATTTAGATAGAATTAATCTATACGTGCTAATAGCACGCCTTTATTGCTTATTCTATTGGGATGGAGTGCCTGTGTCAACTAAATGAGGGACAGAGTGTTTGACCAAAAGGTCTTGAACCTTTTTGTTAAACTAATTAAGTGAATGATGATAGGTAAATTCTAGTTAAATATAATAAGTTCTAGATCCAAGGTTGGTAGGAAATAACCACCTAGAAATTGTATTTGTAGCTAGCTATTTAAAGCCAAAGAGTGGTTTAATGATGTTCTTATGAATAAATGAAGAAGTGACGACAAGCAATAAATGAAATGAATGGCAATGACAGTAAATAAAGGGAACAATTCACCCAAATGTGCAACAAGGTGGATGATTCTCTTTCTGACAGTGCTCTAAAATGGCCAAACGTGTAAACATCAAACACTTTATCGGATCTAGTGCGGAAAAGGTTGGGCCAACACAACAAATTGAATATTCTTTATAGATAACGTTTGTAGTTATATGGGAGCCAACTTCTCTAGAGAGAACTTATCAAATGGAATCTTGGGTACCCCTTCTCTCTCTCTATTCCTATTTATATGTGATATATCTCTTACCTACTGAAAGTACAAAATGTAGAGAATATCCTATAGAATATTCCCTTGGTAAAACTAGTCGTTTCTGGCCAATCTAAGTGCTCGACTCCGACCTCGGCTGCTCAGCTCGTTAGCGTTGCTTCAGAAACATGACTTTGTACCAATTGACTCTTGAGCATGGCCTGTTCTGTTTGTCCTCGACCTCGTCCAGAACGGACTCTTAGGAGGTTTGCCCGAGTCATACTTAGCCGAGCCGCCCATAGCGAATTACGGTCCCCCACTATAGTTTCTCTTCGTACTAAATTTCCCTCGTCGGATTTTGGCTTATACACAGAGACGAATGTAGCCTTGGATATGGATTCATTTGAATGCATAATTTTTGATATAAAATATGTAAAATCTACTAAAACTTTATAAATATTATATCTGAACACACAATGTAAGCAATACGTACAATGAGTTCAGTTAATGATTAAGTTCAAATGCTTGATTCGCCTATGTTGAAGTATGGGGCATTAATAGGTATAATTTGTTTTCGTCATTTCCATTCTACTATTTTTAAGAACTTTTATCTTTTCCCTCACACTTGATGATAATATTAAAAAGCTATATGGTCCAAAGTTTTACTTTTCAATCCTTGGCCAAGAGGTCCATCGCGATCAAGGTTGTTGAGTCTATCAATCATTTTCTAACATAAACCCTGTCCACGTATAAGTATGTTCTGATTTTCTACCTTAATTTCATATATAATCTGTCAAATCAGGTATTTATATATATTAATAGAAAAAGTAAACGCAAAACAGTTAGCTGTCGTTTGGTTTTTTGTATTAACTTATTTAATCCAAGCATAAATCTTGCATGTGTTTGGTTGATCCATAAAAAAATCACCACATAATTAATGCAATATTTGATTGGTGATTTAAACACTACCTGCATTATGTTATGTAAAAACTACACTCCCTCCATTCACTTTTACATGTTCGTAATATTACTAATACATTTTCAATTTTACTTGTTCATTTGGCAAATCAAGAGAAAAATAAATTTTTTTCTTATTTTACCCTTATCATTTACTACTCATTCCCAAAATCATTTCTTGATACTTCTTGAAATGCATCATTATTATGGGTAAAACTGTAAAATATATACTTCGTTTATTTATTTTAAAATGGAGTGCAAAGTCAAAAGTGGACAACTAAAAATGAACCGATAAAGTATTATTTTATGAGGGGAAAGTGTAGAATAATAATTCGTGTATTAACAATACAAGGATTAACCTATTTATAAATAAATATATATTTTCTAAAATAAGTAATTCTTGTATAAAATTCTTTTCAAGATTACTAATCTCATAAATATCTCTAAATTATAATCCTCAAATTAGTGCTAGTATATAAACTAAAGGACCCGTCAACAAAATTACTACTTCCTATGTCCCAGTATATATGGCACGTTTTCCGTTTTCCGTTTTCCTTTTTATTCTGTAGCGAAAAGAATATCAAATTTTTTATTTAAAAACAATTTAATTTAAACTTCTTATTTAATTTTATCTTAATAATATAATTTATAATATTAAATGGTGGCTTGTAACTAGGGTGTTTTTTGTCATTTAGAAGAAAAAGACGGCATCTTTGGTGATTTCCTTAATCTTTACCGTTATAAAGAAAAATCTTTATGAAAACACAATGGAAAAGACCCATGTTTTCCTCTACTCTCTGACTTAATCATTTCTTTTCTTTAAGCTGAAGTTTCACAGTTTCTTTCCTTGCTTTCCGCGTTAAACTGTTTAGCATTTACACCTCCCTTTTATATATCCAGAAAATTTTCTTTATATCTACAGAACAATATTAGCTCTGAATCAGAAGAAGATATATTCAAAAAAAACTCTTAATTAAGCTCAAACCAGAGAAGAACATTGCTTCCCGTGTTTTCCATCTGCAAAAAATTTTCAATTAACTAATGCGTGCAAGGTATTTGTTGTAATGTGTCAATACCAACGCCACCGAAGCAATTTTCTTGGTTCTTAACGGTTTCATTTCTCTCTAAGCTTCTTCCTTTATCCTCAGCCTCAATCTTTATCTTAATTTATCATCATCACCTCCCCTACCTTCTTATATACCCACTGTTTACCCCACTTTGATTTTCTCCTAACTCCATTCTTGAACAGAGCGTAACAGTTTTAAAGCTTGGTTTTTTTAGCTGAAAATTACATTTTATCAGTTGCCCATTTGCAATCTTCGATCCATTTCTTGCTTCAAAGTTGGGGGAATTTATGAAGTACGATTTTCTTGGATAAAGCTTGGATCTTCTCTATTTCTAGGTACTGCTTATTTTCAGCTAATTTGTTCAGTTGTTGCAGTTAAGCTTATGTTTTTAGCTGAAAATTACTTTTATAAGTTACCCGTTTGCGATATTTGATCAATCTTTTGGTGCATCATTGGGGAATCTATGAAGTAGGAGTCTGTTGGATGAAGCTTGGATTTATTTTCTCTGTTTTAGGGTACTGCATATATTGAGCTTTTTTGTTTAGTTGTTGCAGTTCCTTGCTGGATTTTTTTTTTTTTTTTATGTTATATGTATGAAAGTGATGTTTTGGTAGGACCTTGTTGTTTGGACATTCATTATTTTGTTCCTATCTCACTAGATTTAAAAGCTTCTTTTCTTTTAGCTGAAAATCTCGCAATTTTTTACATGTATCTGTTGTACATTGACTAATCTGTTGCTACAAAGTTGGGGAATTTTTGAAGTACTATTTTGTTGGATAAAAATTGTATTTTTTTCTATTTTTGGGCACTGCATATTTTTTGGCTATTTTGTTAAGTTGTTGCAGTTTCTTGTTTGTTTTGCTTGATGTTATGTGTATGAAAGTGATATTTTTGGTAGGAACTTTGTTGTTGGACATTCATTATTTTGTTCCCATCTCATCAAATATCAGTTATCCTTTTTTACTGTTGACTAACCTTAATAACTGGATCCTCTTTGCATCAGAGGATTATTTGTTATTGGGATTTCTTTGCAAAGCATCATAGTTGAAGTTCTGGAAATATTTCTAAAGCTGTATTTTTTATGCTTCTGTAGAGATTTATAAGTGAATTGAGATTTGATATTGAGAACAATATGGGAGGACATTTGAGCAAAAAGCCTGGTGAGACTTCAGCTGCTATCAACAATCTGCAGTACAAAATCGAGCTGAATTCATATGAAGCCGCGTGCAGGGCTGACACAGATTTACAGTCATTTGATTCAACTCTACAAGCTAGAACCAGTCATATTATCAATACCCTTGCTGATGGGGTTGAAGTTAGAGCACTTTCTTTTGATTCTTTGAAGGAAGTCACTGGTTGCCTTTTGGAGATGAATCAGGAAGTTGTGAAGGTAATATTGGATTGCAAGAAAGACATATGGAAGAATCAAGAATTGTTTGAGCTGGTTGAGGAGTATTTTGACAATAGCCTCAAAACTCTTGATTTCTTGGCTGCTTTAGAGAAATGCCTAAAACGAGCTCGGGATAGCCAATTGCTGATTCTTGTAGCACTTCAACAATTTGAAGAGGAAAGTGGGGTTGAAGGGAATAAATACACTAAGACTTTGGAGGAACTGAAGAATTTCAAAGCTGCAGGGGATCCTTTCACAGAAGAGTTTTTCCAAATATTCCAGTCTGTTTATACACAGCAAATGCTGATGCTCGAAAAGCTGCAGCTGAAAAAGAACAAGCTTGATAAGAGGCTTAAGTACATTCATGCTTGGAGGAAAGTGTCAAATATTATATTTGTGGCTACATTTGCAGCTGTTTTGATTTGCTCAGTAGTGGCTGCTGCTATAGCTGCTCCTCCGGTTGCATCTGCTCTGGCTGCTGCAACGTCGATTCCATTAGGCTCAATGGGCAAATGGATAGATTCCCTTCTCAAGAACTATGAAAATGCTCTGAAAGGACAGAAAGAATTGATCAACACAATGTATGTTGGTACTTTTATCACAATTAAGGATTTGGACAGTATCAGGGTGCTGATTGATCGACTGGAAATCGAGATAGAGTCCCTGTTGAAGAAAGTTGAGTTTGCTATTGATGAAAATGAAGTTAAGATTGGTATAGAAGAGATCAGGAAAAAACTTGATGTTTTTATGAAGAATGTTGAAGATCTTGGAGTGCAAGCTGATGTTTGTAGCAGGGATATTCGTAGGGCAAGGACTGTTATCTTACAAAGGATCATCAAGCCCCCAAACCACTGAAGACACTGAAGGTTACTGCATGCTAAAATTTGCCTTAGCAGCACTGAACATTTATCTGCTTTTCATAGTTTGTGATGTTAAATATGTGAAACTTAATCTGAAACATATATCATGGTTAAAGGACTCTTTAGTCTTCACACCATGAAGAATAAATTTATTGGATTCTTTTTTAAGGTATATCGATTACTTTTTTAATTTGTTATTCGTTTATTCCTTTACATGAATAAAAATATATTAAATTACTTTCCCAATTCTACGTGTAAGTTTATCTTCAGGTACATGCCGAGGAGGCTGATTTTGTCAATGTTTTTCTTTCTTATCTCTCTTCGTTTGGCCGAAAAAAATAATCTCTTGAATGACTTCTTCAGTTGTACCTTTCAGACCATTTCAGAGTCAACCTGCTAAGACCTCTGTTAACACGTATGAGTCTGGTGTTGGTCCTAAACTCTTGGAAATTTCATGACCTAACACGATTATAAAAAGTTGCTAGCAGGAAGAGGTCCAGAAATGAGAGAAAATGTCAAAGTTAACGTCAAAAGAAACTTTGCTTGAGAAATGAGGGGGTGTCTTTTTTTTTTCTTTGTGTGTGTGTGTGTGGAGATATCTACCATTACCAAATACTTGGCAAATTCTACGAGAATGTCAACCATTAACTGAACATTAAGACATAATCACAAAAATAGTAGAGCCAGATGTATGATATAGAAAAGGAAACAAAGGGATCGCAACAGAAAATAAATTTAAAGAACAGGCAAGTTGTGTCAAATTGTGGCTCGCTTATAACAACTCTTGAAAGGCGACTGCATTCACAAAGATACAATGGGCGAAGGCCGAAAATTGAAGTATGTAGCTGTTGCCAAGAATGCACAGACAGAGGAAACATATATCTTAAACCAAATGGAAGAAAATAGAGTCAGATAAGCACAAATCGCAGTCAATGTTATCACAAAGATGAAGTTTGCTAAACACTTGGACGTAGACAGCTCACTTTCTATTCCTTCGCGAGGGAAATGACCTTGTGAATGAAAATCCGACAACAATTTATCCTTGTCACAGAATGTATCTATCAACCATGAAGCAGCCTCATTTTCAGATTCTGGTATATCGGCAACAGAAATACAGCGGACGTGCATATGAACTTCAGCCGGATCAACCCCAAAGGCATTATCCAAAAAAGAAGGGCAACGATGCTTGTAGCCAATTGTGATGTCATAAACTGAGAGAGCACCAAATGGACAGTCAAAAGAAGAAAATTAAGGAAAACCGTGACATCTTTTAAGCATCTAACCAAGCTTAATAAGTCCTGATAATCTTTGCCATTACTCTATTAATTTCTTTCTAGGATGTTATAACTTGAGGTACAACAAGGTAGTTTCATTGAATCGCCATTCATGGACTAGCAACAAAATGAAAGTATACTTGAGAAAGAACTGTATGAAGAACCTCTATTTAATTTGAATTTTAATGATGATAATAAAATCAATAATGCATGACCATAATGAATAAAGCATATATTCGGTAAAGCTCTCATTCTAATGTTTCTGCAACTAAAAGAATGGTATATTGATATAGATAATAAGACAGGCATCTGTGCTCAACGGTACTCTGCTCCCACTCAATTGGACAGCGACTATCCATATCTAAAAGGAAAAGAACAACTATTTTATATGTGAGGCACTAATGCCACATAAATCAGGAGGAAAAGGAAACAGCAAAGACTAGATCTATCCATATCAGACATCACGATCAGCTTTGACATGACAACTGACAGGCCTCTAATACACGAGCCCACCTACGAGTCCCAAGAATATCCATGTATTAAGATGAGCACATTCTAACTTCACAAGGGGAAAACATGACTCATATTCTACCTCTAAATTTATACCTGTAGCAGATGCAATCTGGCTTGCTAAAAGAATATCAGATGTCCCGGAAACCACAACAATCAAGGACAAAGGAACCCC